TGTTCCTGATATCCAATCTACACCTCCCTTGGCACAACTTGAGACCATTCCCTCTTGTTCTGTCAGATGCTGGCAGACAAAGCAGTAGGGCTGTTACTGATGGGATGATGATCTTGAGGTGTCCATTAGGGTTAATATTTGACCTGGTAGCAAAGAAGTGGGTTGGGGGCCTTGAATGGGTCTTATTCCTGTGAAGAAATGGCAATTGGTCACCCAGAATGACTGAATTAATCTCTCTGTCTCACTGTTCCTTCAGGGCACTTGCTGGCTTGACATTTCAGCCTGGGTGATTGTCACTTCTCATCTGTTGTCTGAGCAAGGATACAAATGTCTTTGGACCTGAAGGAGAGTTCCTGCTTTTACTTACAGCTGTTGGACAATTCATCTGCCAGAACAGGAGTAAGAATAAATTTAGGAAAAAATTCCTGTGGTCTAGGAGTGAAAAAACCTGGTGACAGCAGTGATGTTGAGTTTTCCTGTCCCAAAGTTAAGTGCAAGGAAAAAATGCTGGTGAGACACACAGGTATTTGCAAACATATGAAGATGAGAGTGGGTGGAAGGAACATGATGTTCATTTCCCTTGATGGAGCAGTTGATGCTGCTGATGCATGAAACTAGATTTCAGAGGGGGAACTCCAGTGACTGAAGTGGCTGTCCAAGGTCAGCTATGGGAATGTCTCCAATCTGGCTCCCTGCCATAGAAGAGAGGTAGGAGGGGAAGAAGACATTGATTAGCAAATTTTTTGAAAGTTCATATCTCAATCACCATTTTGAAAACTGATCCATGCTTCAGGTGACCAAGGAGGAGGTTTTCTGAGATGCTGCATTATCTTTGGAAGGTGTAGATCAACCAAGAGATCCCTCCTCTACAGCTTGAGCTGCACTATCAAAGAGTTTGGTTCTAGCTGCCTTCCTGCCAGCCATCCAAGGGAAAAAAAAAGAAAAAAAAGTGTCTTCTCAACAGAAATGAGATGAGGAACTTCTTGGAAAGAGTTCTTAGTGATCATTGCATAAGAGATAGGCCAGGAAACTGATAATGGGAGAAACAGGTCCCTGTAGGGCCATTGGCACAGGAGAGCATGAAGACAACCCCAGCCTCCACTTAATGGAGATGGGGAGTGCAGAGGTGAGACAGAGACTCAGGGGGCTGAGGTTACTCCTGTGGGGTTGGCTGCTGGGGTGAACCAAAAGACCTTGATGGACATGAATTCAGCATCTAGAGATAGAAGTGGAGACAACCTGTTTGGAGTAATGTCTCTATGACTTATACATTAGAGATGCATTTTGTTGGGACAGGAGGGAAATCCGAGGCTCTGTCTGTCCTGAATTTATCCAAACCCAATAGCAGAGATTTTTTTCAGGAGAAACTTGAGGGATGGAGAACAGATCATCCATCCATGTCTGTAGTAGTAAGCTGAACAGAATCAGGTTATGGGCAGTGAGATGTGCTATCTAATGGATAGTGTGTTGTTTAAGTGCTACCAAGATCTTTGGTGTAGCTCAGGAGTGGGTCAGTCAGCCATCTCCTGAACAAATCTTGGACGTGGTTCAGAGATAGCTCTTGATACACACCTTGAACACAACCATCTTTTTTTTTGGAGGCCAAGAGATCTTGTGAGTAGTTCCATTTTGCCATAAAACTGTTCCTGAAATTTTTAGTTGCTGATACAAGTGTAATATTAATCCAGTCGGGCAGATTGTTTGAGGTAGCTTCGAGCACGGGTCATTGCAATATCCTCAGACCTTTTTTGTCTAAGAAGCCACACAGGTAGGTAGAATATGTTGCCCTTGGTGTCACTTAACACAGAGTATGTTCCTGGTGTAAATGTTCATTCAGGAGAAACTGATCTAGACTCAGTTGACAGATCCAAAGCTTCAGAAGTCAAGAGACTTTTTTCTTGCACAGGTACAGCTTATTGCACAGTATTTCTTGCACAGTGCAGGGCTGGCTCTGGGGAAGTCCTGGACTGGGCTCCTGGACTCAGCAGCAGATGGGAACTGGATTCAGGAACACACCGACTCAGGAACACAGGGATCAGGACCAAAGGCAGATGAATGGTTGGAGGCCTCCCAGGACACCAGCCATGGATGAAGAGAGCTTGACCCTCATGATCCCTCAGCTTTATACCCAGTATGACACATGGGATAGAACACTGCCTTTGGTCAGTTCTCCTCACCTGTCCAGTCTGTTTCTCCCTTCAGGAGGGTCACAGGTGTGATCCCTTTTCCTCCCTTTCATTTCCAGCACACAAAACGTTCAGCAGAGCCAAGCAGTGACCTTGGTTTCTATAGCAATAGGTATCACCAGGAGCCTTCCTGCACACCCCCGTCCAGCAGTGCTGTGAGCTGATGCCAGGGGGGCTAAGAGGTGTCAAGGTGCTCCCAGGACTTCCCCCCCAGTCTGGAGGGGTTTTTAAATGACCCCCGGGCTCACACGATGTGGCACTCACCTCTCTCAGAGGATTGGCTGCGGCAGGACCCTGTTTTAGATATACAGGTTAGATCACCACCCTCACCACGGCCACAAATTGTTACCCAGGCTGATGTTTAGTTTAAGAATTAACCGGTTTGTTAAAAGTTAACACAAGCTGAGGGGTGAGGTTTAGGGAAAATGTAAAAATGGCAAATGGCTACCAGGGATACAGCAGGGTAGTAGTGCAGAAAGTGCTGTGCCCTTCAGGGAGGTGATGCAGGAAGTGCTGTGTCCTTAGGATGTTCTCTCCGAGAGAGGGTTGTGGGTAAAGGGCAGGGAGGGAGGAGGGCAAACCTTACACAGCCCTCCTTGCAGAGCCCCCAGTGTGTGTGCAAGTGTGGGGAGAGGAAGGAGGAGTTGTACCGAGTCATTACACTCCTGTGGCAAGGAGGTTCCCTCTGGCACTGGCTCGTGTGGGGGTGCAGCCCTGGTTTGTGGGGGGGCAGCCCTGGCTTGTGTGAGGGGGCAGCCCTGGCTTGTGTGAGGGGGCAGCCCTGGCTTGTGTGAGGGGGCAGCCCTGGCTTGTGTGAGGGGGCAGCCCTGGCTTGTGTGAGGGGGCAGCCCTGGCTTGTGTGAGGGGGCAGCCCTGGCTTGTGTGAGGGGGCAGCCCTGGCTTGTGTGAGGGGGCAGCCCTGGCTTGTGTGAGGGGGCAGCCCTGGCTTGTGTGAGGGGGCAGCCCTGGCTTGTGTGAGGGGGCAGCCCTGGCTTGTGTGAGGGGGCAGCCCTGGCTTGTGTGAGGGGGCAGCCCTGGCTTGTGTGAGGGGGCAGCCCTGGCTTGTGTGAGGGGGCAGCCCTGGCTTGTGTGAGGGGGCAGCCCTGGCTTGTGTGAGGGGGCAGCCCTGGCTTGTGTGAGGGGGCAGCCCTGGCTTGTGTGAGGGGGCAGCCCTGGCTCGTGGGGGGGTGCAGCCCTGCGTTCTGGGATGCAGCCCCTGGTGCTTCTCCCCCAGCAGCAGAGGCAGCAGCAGGGGCAGGACCCGGCACACCCACCCTCAGGGCTCAGGTGGGTCCCCGGGCAGGTCCCCAGGCCCAGCAGAGCCCAGCACCAGGCTCTGCAGCCGGGCAGACCCGAGGAGCAGCAGAGGGGTGTCAGGCATCCGAGCAGGCTGCTCTGTCTCCTGCAATACCCGTCGCCTTTTGTACCCAGTGACCCCCTGTCCAGTCAGTGCCACCAGCAAAACGCATGAACGTGCTGATGTCCAGAGCCAAGTAGCATCCATGAGCCCCAAGTTAGGGTGGTAACTATTCGGGGCAATGCATAACTTGTTGCCCACCCTTCCTGCCTTTTACCACACCTGTTGTTTTACTTTTGTCTGTCCTCGAGCAGCAGGCCTGGGGTTGGTCCCTTAGCTGGGTGCAATCAGCAGAAGGGCTTTGCTAGCTTAAAAGCCATTTTGTTTAGACTTATATGGGGAGGAAGAGCCATTTCCCACAAGCAGTAACTATAAACATCCGTGCTGTCAGTCCTAGGAGCAGACACTGGCTGGAAAACAGGCTGTTAACTTCAGCAAGTGCAGCTACTTAGAAGAGACTTAACTGCAAAGTAAAATTACTAGAAAGAAAATTGGTTCTGTCCTGGCTCAAACCAGGACACTTTGTAATTTCCAAAATAGCTGGGAATATCTGAACGTGTTGCCCTCTTCAGGCTAACTAGAACGTTGTCAAGCTTTTAAATAAAATGTTGCACACCCTGTGTTAATATAAACTTTTTGAGTTCTGCATTTCCTTTGTGGTTTTCATTTGTGACTCTTTAGACTCTTTAGAAAAAAAAAAGAAAAGGCTACAGCTGTGAGGAAGGAGCACCTCTAGCTTTGGCTTGATACAGGTCCAGAGACACAAGGAACAATTAAGTTGCTTAAAAACAGGCTCCAGTGCCACGGGAAAGCTCCTAGTTTCTTTCTAATGCACCAGGATGAATTCAGGCCCTGATATCTTTTCAAGATAGATGCAGGAAACTGAGTAAAAAAAATTGACTTCTTGCTTCCATGGCCAGTTGTGATGGGAGAAGAAATGGATTGTGCATTTGTAACTGTTAATTAGGGCTCATGGTTATATCTGTATTACTCAATAAAACAGGACATTTAATTTACTTTTCTGACTGTTATTGAATACAGGCCTGATGTTTTCAGACACAGTCTATATATCACCCCAAATCTTACTTCTGGGTATAGAGAGTTCAGACCCTATCACTGCATTTATCAAGCCAGGTGTGTGTATAAACACAGTGACACAGGTATCTAAAATGAAGCTTGCAATACCGGAGGTGCTTATTGATTGCCATTTTTAATTCAGTCATTCTTTATCAAGTGCTGTTTGTGCAGTTCTCACACAACTTTCAGTCTTATCATCCTAAATGCTAAAGTATTTAGTATCAAAAGTGGTTGCTGTTTAAGTTGTTCCCTTTTCCAGATGATTTGGGAATATGTGAGACTGCAAAAATTAATTCTTTAAAATAATTGCATGACTTCATGAGCCTTGAGTCAAAACCACAGACAAAATTACTGCTAATAACAACAAAAGATCACACTTATTGGTTTAAGAAGACATTTATTTGTGTGTGTGAATAAAGTAATAATATATATATTTCGCTTCACATCCTCCAAGAACTGCATGAACCTGAAGTGATTGAGCATCCAAACATCCCTGTGAGGTAGGCTGGAATAGTGGCCAAGGTACCAAAGTGGCTTGTGTATTAAAAGCAAAAAAAGGGAGTGACTTCAGCAAAGAAAAACCTGGATCTCCAGAAGCAGTGTGCTAACAGGATGTGCCCTCTGGAAGCTTCTTTTCATGCTCATTTGCAGGAGGATTTAGACAGAGGAGGAATCCATCAAAATCAGCCCCTCGAGGCAGTGGACCTGATGCTGATACAAGGGCACTGACCCAGGAAAGCTGCCTCTTCTTACTCCGCTGAAATCCTGCAAGGATGCAAAGGGTCTTGTAATTTTGCTGAAGTATAAGCTCCGTCTCTAAATGCCTCAGTATCTGCTAATTACCTTTCAGAATAAATGCACAGGCTGAGTTCAGCCTGCAGGTTTAAAAACCTACATAGAGATGCCTCTGTGGAAGGGTCCCCATGTGTGCCAGGTGTCTGCAGACATCCAGTCCACAAGAACCATGATCACTGGCAAACAAGTCTTATTGCCATGGTCGGGGTGGGGTTGAAACTGGTTGATGTTTAAGGTCCCTTCCAATGCAAACCATTCTGAGATTCCGTGATTCCAGTAATAAAGTTTTGCTTCAGCTTACCCCCCCCAAAAAAAACCCTGGAGATTTGGTTCAGTTACTGAATCACACAAGTCTAGTGCCATTTGGAGAGCTCTGGGGTATGTGCTTGGCCTCCAGCCATCTCTTCTGAAAAGCAGTGTTTCCTCAGGAGCTTTGGCAGCCAAATATGCATATATAGTTTAAATACTCCAAGGCACCTAAACATCTCAGTGTAGCTTGCTGAATCAAACTCTTTGTGTCCAATTTCAAAGCAATTCAGTTGGTTGAATCCTGAACTGCAAAAATATTATGTTGTACCTCAGAATATCCTGTTGGTTTCAATTTCTACTGCTATATTGATCGACCCAGCTGAAAATTAATCCTGAATATTAGCATCCATCAACATCACTTATGGGTACATTCTTACAAGAAAGAGTATTTCTGTAGAATAGTTACACCTGGAAACAAACTCAGGAGCTCTGGTTCCTTTCCCAGCCCCAGTTCTTACTGAAATGTAGTGCTGAAGGTTGCCATCTGCTTCCCACTGTCTTTTTGCAATGAGTAGAAATTGCTTCTTAGAGAGAATAATTGTGCACAGAGACTGAGGGATCACATCACTCTTTTGTAAAATCATCTCATAGTGGGTTGCTTCTGTGCCATATGTTTTTCTGAGTTACTAAGTGGAAGCTTCCTTAGCATCTGAATCTCCTGAGAACAAACCTGTCCAGTTATTGGTGTGATTTGGGTATCCTGAAGCCACTGTCTGACTGAGGATCCCCATGTGCTATGAAATCTCTTCCCTAGACCCATCTCATCACACTTCTTCAGTTTCTGGGAAACTTTAAACTCTGACAATTCTATAAATAACAGACTAAGGAGTTCTGGAAAACTAAGAAAAAAATAAATGCAGATTTGCATTCTCCCTTTGTTGTTTTTTTTTTAACCAGGTTATGTCCAGTCATATCAATGGCTGAGGATCTGCCTGAGCATCTCTTGCTGGGATGAATTATGTAATCATGCCTGCCCTTTTTCACAGAAGATACAGGATTCTCTCCTAAATTGCCACTGAATTCTCTGTGTGTGGTAGTCACTGCACCTGGCAATGATCATCACCTGGCCATAAGTAACACAAAATCATTGTAAGCATTAAATGCCTGAGGAATATATTTGATCCTAAGCTAAAGTGCATTCCCCAAAAGCATATTCAAAACCTAAAGGAAAAAAAAAAAACCCTTGCTATCAGGGAAACTCCAAACATTATTAGAAAGTGCTCTCCAAAGTGAAAAATGAAATGCACACTAATTTTTCTCCAGTCAGTGATAAATTAATTCTTCTTCATCATTCTAAGGGCTGTACAGGGGTGGGAGGAAGGAAAAACTGGGAAGAGAATGAGAAACAGAATTCTGTGAGCATTTTGCCCCCTTTAACATTCAGTTTTCTAGGTCATTTTGGAAATTAAAAGAGGGAAGACATATTTTTGTTCCAAGATGGATGAAAATACTGTTAAATACTTGCCTAATAGTTTATTGAAAAAACTTCTTTTATTTCTCCTCATCAGAGTTGAAAATAAAGTAAAAAACACTGAATTCTGGGTAATTTGGACCCTACTGAACTTTTATACATAAGTCCTTTACTGAAAAGGTTGTCAGGCCCTGGCCCAGGCTGCCCAGAGCACTGGTGGAATCCCCATCCCTGGAGGGATTACAAAGCTGTGCAGATGTGGTGCTGAGGGACATGGGTCAGTGGTGGCCTTGGCAGTGCTGGGTTAGTGGTTGGACTTGAGGATCTTAAAGGTCTTTTCCAAACAAAATGATTCTATGATCACTTCCATCAAAAGGAATTTTCGCCTTTAACACACATCTACCATATCTACCTGTGCATCCTCCACCTGGACTTTGTCACAAGTAGCTGCCTACAAACCCCTTGCATTATGCATAGTATTCAAAGAAACAGTAAATAAAGAGGCAGGACAAAACCACCCTCAGATGTCCCTCAGTCCTGAAGTACTTACTTTGAACAGCATTTCATGGCCCCCCCGTGGCAGGACCCTGAGGCAGTGAAGGTGGGTGGGCATGGCCCAGCACGGCAGAAGTTCCCCTGGCTCTTGCACTCCATGGTGTCAACAAAAAGAGGATCTGCAGAGCCTGTGGGAAGGGAAAGGTGTTAAAATACCAGTTTTCAGTCCCAAATGATGAAAAATAAATATGCAATCAATCAGGTAGCATTAGGATGGGGGGTTACAGTCTTAAGCTGGAAGAGGGTAGATTTAGAAGCGGTATTAGCGAGAAATTGATTCCTATGAGGCTGGTGAGACAATGACACGGGTTGCCCAGAGGAACTGCTGTAGCCAGAAGTGTTCCAAGCCAGGTTGGATGGGGCTTGGGGCAAGCAGGTCTAATGTGGCAGGGGGATTGGGTCTAGATGATCTTTAAAGTCCCCTCCAACCCAAAGCACTGTGTGAGTCTTTGATTCTACCAGTCTGTGAGCTGCTTTTTTAGGAAGTGTGCCATGATGAGCACGGATGTTCTCGGCCCCATCCATAGCACCATCCTGACAGCATCAAATTTTGCCTGTCAGGTGACAGTTTCCTTTCTCCTCCTGTGCCCACACTCTGCTTTCAAGCCCTTTCATTCTTTGTAGGGTGCGCTTTGCTTCTCACCTGGAGCAGCCTGGAAGAGGAGGAGAACAACAGCGAAGAGCAGGTAGAGGATCCTCATGGTTGCTGGTCGGTTGTGGACTGTGTGCTCCTGCAAAGTGCCTGGCAGACTGAGGGAGGGTGAAGTTTGCTTGAGGCTGGTAAAGGCCTGGTATTTATAAGGCCTGTGGGACTGTGCAAGTTTGATGCCTGAGTGCTTTGTCAATAAGTAACTGCAACAAACCTTCTGGAAAGCAGAGTGGTTATAGCCCCCTTATCACAGGTTGCAACGAAATGTGCAGAGAACATGTTGCAATCCCCAAGGGTGAATTTCCACTGACGGTGTCCGTTGTATAATGTGATCACAAGCCAAGCCCCACTGAGCTGCATCAGTTCTCATGGTTTTTGTGGGCCTGTTTCCAACACAAGCACAAGGATGAGTCAGGCAGAGGGCTTGGGAGTCAGCCACAGTGCAGTCTGGTTCCAGTCTTGACCCTGGATCAGTCACTCACTGACAAGTAGTGTAACATTTTGTCTTTGTCTCCCCATCCCTGTCACCAGGTGGATTATGTCAAAGGCAGGGAAGAGCACTGAGAAAGATTTGAGATGATGCAACATTGCTTTGTCACTTTATAAACAGGTTTCAGGACATCCTCACCCACTGCAGAGGCTTGACACGAAGGTCTCTCCCTCCTTTAATTTTCACTTACATCCCATCTTGGGCACTTTGCATTTTTACCAGCTCTTGACAACTCCATTTGTTTCCCCTCATATTACTCCAAAAGTTTGGGTCAATGGGCTGATTCCATGAGAGTCTCAGCAGGCAAAGTGCTCAAAGTGCAACACCTTGTGGGGCTTCACTTAAGAGCATGACCCCCATGCCTATGAACTGCTTAGGGGATCATCACACTGAAGGTTCTTTTCCATTAAATCCTGGGCCTGCAAATGTCAAATGACTGGCACAGCTTTTCCCCCATGGGAATCCTGTCTTTGTCCAAGTACTGTCACACATAATAAACAGGTTAATCTCTGTCAAAGCCCAGGCATTTCTGTAGTTCCTAGCTCTGGCATTCTGGTTCAGCTATTTTGCTTCCTTATTACCTCATTTATTATATCTAACTTGGAGTTAATGGCATTTTTGTTCTAAGAATTGTCCATAGGATTAAAACATTATTGTTTTTTGTTTTTAATCTACATACTAATAGGCAAGCTGAAGCAGCTGAGAAAGTAGCAACAACATGAGTTATTTAAATGTTTATGCAGCCATTAACAGTAAGATAAACACTGATTTCCCTCTGCTACCCATAAAATCTAATTAACCAGGAAATGTCAAGTACTCCAGAATGTCTTTCTTGGTACCCCTGCCTTGGAAATTATTTTTTTTCTTTTTATTTTCTTTTTGCCAATCATTCTCCAACTGTCTCCATTTCTAATGGATAGGAGAGGTGACTGTCACTCCTCTCTTTTCTCTTCCAGTGAGTTGTTAGTGGGACACCCCAACAGAGAGACCTGCAACATGATCTGCCACATGAACGCTGAGAAACAAGGAAACAAAACCCTTTTGTTTTTCTGAAAACCCATCAAAATGTGCATTTCCCCCACCTGTTGTACACAAAAGCAGGACAATGATGTTGTGACATTTTGCAAATGGAAGTGTGTTTTTTTGAGCACTCCTTGCTCCTTAAAGAAGTTCATGTTAGGGAAGAGTCATTTTTTCCCCAAATAAAATCAGAAAGTGGCACTGGGGAAGTTGGTGACAATGCTTTGCTGTCACATGAAGTGTTTGAACAACCTCTGCTTGCTTTCAGGGCTGTACTGTTTCCCACCTGTGGAACAGAATAAATCTTATTATCAGAACCACCTAGTTTAAATTTCAGAGATGCAAATTGTCATAGATTTTGCTGAACAACGTTCTTCTTGCAGAAGGAAAGCAGCCCTCTAGGAAAGAGGGCAACATTTTAGGCCCTGCTAGCACAGGCACATTGAGAGTGTTATTCAGAACCATAGGAAAATTCCATGACTTTGACTCCTAGTAAAAACAAAGACAGGTGCAAGCCAGTTCCTTAAAACCAGCCCAAACTTGTCTAAAGTGCCTGAGGAGCAGAGCACTTTGTGCAGCACAGCAGTGACCTGGGGCTGGAACATGGCATGGAGCTGTGTCCCATGGCAGTCAGGGCCAGGAAAAAGTTCTGGAGATCTCTGTTGAATGTCAACTTTTCAAACCTTATGCAAAAAACACTGCAATGCATATAAGACATAAAAGATACCACGAGAATATTGGTAGCAAATGAGAGAAAGGGAAGACATATGACACTCAAAAGATGTTTAATTTTGACTTTAAGATCAGGAGCAGATGGTCAGCTTAACGGATCCAACAGCTATTTCCAAAAAAGAACTTGGTACATCAGCATATGGGGATTTCTGGAGGATCGTGAAGGACACAGAATCTCACAGTGGTGCTCTCTGTATTTGTCTCTATTTTGTATAAATGGGTATTTATGTTTTGATGTTTGCAATCCAATTTTGCTTTCAGCACAGCTTTCCAAAGGTGATATGGTTAGTAAAATCTGAACTGTTGAGTGGGGTCAGCACTTGCAAGCATCACCTCATCCTGATAAAGGAGCATGAAATGACTTAGTAGATTTCTCAGTCTTCTGCAAGGCAGGTGGTTTCCTTCCTTCTTGGTTGACAAACTAAATAATAACAGCTCATAATAGTTCATAATGAGCATAATATGGTGTTCATTGCTTCTTGCCTCAACATTTTCCCAGAGATGTTCCCTTAACCACAACTTAACAGATAATGGCTAATAAAATGGGGTTTTTTAGAGTCTAACTATTATACTTTTGAGGTTGGTTATATGAAGTGGGGTACATATATTTGGACACTGGTAGGCCTTTATTTTGCCCTTTTAACTATAAGTATGCCTTTAAAACCACACAGGCACATGTTTTTTTAGGAAAGATTATGCTTATATTTCATTAAAACCAAGCTCATGTTAACACATCAGTGTTCTCTTGGCTTTCCTAATTATGGCATAAATTCTTACCGTGCATGCAAACTGATTTATGTTTTCAGTGCTTCATCTTCCAATCAGTCACCAATCAGTTAATTGATTAGGATAATAATATGTTATTCAATTATGTCCTTTGTCTAGCTCTTCCAAGACTTAGTGAACAAGATTAAAGAACACAGACTGAAACCCTACATTCATTTTACCATCATCACCATCTATGCACAGGGCAATTTTAACAAACAAATTTGGGTTTTCCTGCTTTTGTAGCTGGCTAGTCTGCTGTTAGAGCTTTCTATGTGGGAAATCAATGTCAAACAAATGTACAGCTCTTTCTTTTGTGGTGTAAGTAAAGGGGTGTTTCTCTTCCACAACTGACTGCAGGTAGCTGGTGGTAGGAGATATGCACTCTTTGCACCTCTGCCTGGAGAGGCCCAGGTGAAGCTGGGCTCCAACCTGCATCTCCATTGCATCTCACATCTCTTGATCCATATATTCCTCATATTTCAGGGAAGGAGCAGCTCAGAACAATCAGTCTGCAAATCATGTATGGTCTCTACCACTGCCATGTCCATTTACTAACTTGCCATCTCACAGGGTATCTGTTGGTATCGTCTTGCAAAGGGCACAATGAGAATGGGAACATGAGGGCTGAAGTTGCATCATCCATGGAGCTGTATTAGTGGAAACCTTCTAATAGATACATCTTGCTCTGATGCAAAATATTCACAAAGTGGAGCTGTTGGAGGGAGTCCAGAAGAGGACCACGAAGATGATGCAGGGGCTGGAGCAGTTCTGCTCTGGAGACAGGCTGAGAGTTGGAGTTGTTCAGCTTTCAGAAGAGAAGGCTCCAGAAGGGGAGACCTTAGAGTGCCTTCCAGTACCTGAAAGGGCTACAGGAAAGCTCCTTCTGACAAGGGTATGGAGAGATAGGATGAGGGGGAATGGTTTTACTCTGAGAGAGGGGAGATCAAGATGACCTATTAGGAATAAATTATTAGGAAGTGATTAGTTACAAATCCAGACAGGAAAGCTGTACTTGTACACTGCTGCATTGCAGCATCCCTCACCTGCACATGCACAGAGGCTCCCCAGCCTCCTATTGTGCCTTTTCAGAGACACTAGGAAGTCTCTCACACCTCAGGATTCACTAACTGCTCAGCTGTACTTTTCTTCCTCTAAAAAGTTGAAGTTTCTCTGCCAGAGGCCCATTCATCACAGGCACAGTAAGTACTGATGGAAGAGCAGAGGTAAAACACACCTGAGGGTCTTTGCTTTGAGCCTTGTGCAGCCCATGAGAAATGACATAAAATACTCCCCTGACCAGTCACATCTGGGAATCATAGAATGATAGAATGGTTTGGGTTGAAGGACCTTCTTTCTTAAGAAGATAAAGGTTCTTTCTTAAAGAATCTCCTCTTCTCCAGACTAGAGAGTCCTAGGTCTCTCATAACCTGATTACAGGTATTGATATTTGTCTGGTTTTACACCAATTTTAAATGAGCCTTCAGCAAGTTGCTCCAGCAACTGCCTTCTTGCCCCCCAGCTCAGCATTCTTCAACACCTCTTTGTCTGGCTGCTATCAATCTTTCCTGTAATTTAAACAATTTAGGATTAAGACACCTATCTTCTACACAGATCCCGTCCTGATTAAAGTTTGGGATTGCACAGGCTTCCTCACTGTGCTTGTCTCTGCTTGGGTGTCACTGTCACCAGAGGAACTCACAGGAATTAGATGCTTGTGAGTGACATCTAACTCCCAATCTGGGAGTCAATCACTGCAGATCTCTAATTGGACAGATGACACACAGTGAGGGATAATATTAAAAGAAAATATACCACTAATCTGACAAACAAAATATATCCATCGAGTTCTAAAAGATGACTTGAAATAAAATCCTTTAAAGAACAACAAAAAGAAGCCACCTGGAGGACTGCCTAGTTACTTCAGTTTACACAGTTACCTCATTGCTAGCCCTCTGGAGAGCACCTCACATCTTCTGAGGTCAATATCACAGGCAGAACCTGTTACATAAACCATGACATAATCAAGTACATAATCAATTTCCA